CAAGACTGCAGTAATTGTATATATGGTGTTGAACTTGGAGACTATATATGTTTATGTAAAATCACTATGTGCTTTTAAAGGACTAACTGCGTCATAGGATTACAGCTTCATCTTTTATAAATTACTGTGACATTGCAATCTACAGTAGTACCCCCAAGCGCCTCTGATCTGGAGTTTTGGATAGCTCCAACCTGTACATTATTTTGAGGGGCAGTTCCTCTTTTGAGCCCAAGTCTTTACTGTATGTCCCTCTTTCCTCCTTTGTTGTCCCACTTTTTAGCCTTTCACTGATGTATAATCACTGTTTAAAAATGAATTATTTATCAAAAGTATTACTGTATATTGCAATAAACCTGTACTCTAAATTATTGAATTTTTTATTATGAAAAGGTGTTATAAAGGAAAAGGCATGGTTAAGTCTGTTTAATTGATAATTTTTTGCAGAATGATTCTTCAAGGTCCCTGTAATTGGGGTTCGGTAGGGATGTGGCCTTTGGCTACATAATTTGTTCCATCTCAGAAAGGCATGCTTTACATAGCTGCTATGTGCCCTGGATCCTACAGAACAAACCTGCAAACTAGACATTTGTACTGTGTTCTAGATTGCCATGGAGGATCTACCTCCTCCATCACTGCACCATTAGCACATATGTGACAGCTTGCATATGTACACTTATCATAAAGCCTCTCTTATATTCAAAATTGTATAAATAAGCACCTGGTTCTTTGAGGACTTCAGGACAGAAGACAATTTCAACACTTCAACTACAGTACAATGAAGTATACGTATCTGTCATTGTTGGCCCCACAGTGTTACTATATAGGTAAAGGTTTAAAGGTGAATTCAATTACATTTGTTGACTCAGTCCCTGAAATTTATAAAGAGTGACGTAGACATGCTATAGAAGTAAGTCTCACCTCCGTGTGACAAATGACGCATGTGACAGATTCATGTACCTGTCAGAAAGATGTACACAAAATTGCCACAGTGAGGCACTAGAATGTACATTAAATGAATGTATTCAGTACACTCTAAGGGTCACCATACATGTTACAATCTGTTTATACTATCTTTGCACAATCTGTAGGCATGTGGAGATAGGTAGAGGTTCTCTTAAGGGTTGCTTCTCCTACTGGCAGAGTGCTTTGTGGGTTTCCTTATTTAAGGTGGGTGCAGCTGGGGCACTGGGCTCATTCTAGACAGGAGAGATATAGAGAAGGAAGGTCTGCTACATGTGGTCCGTGCTCTCCCCTTCAGGGCAGGGGCTGGAGAAGGGATCCTGCAATGGAAGAGGGATAGAGCCTTGGTGTATCCCCTTGTTCTCCCCACCAGATGACAACTAAAGGAGCTTGTAGTCCTGAGAGTGAGTAAGGAAGGACAAATACCACCTGTGGAGAGCCACAAGAAAACCTATGCCTAGCCACTATTTGGAATGTAACTATTATGTTTCATCTTCTAAACAAGGAGGTAAAAAAGAAAACTTTATTGTTTACTACAAGTCTTCATGTGAATATTTTAGGGGAGATGTGCCTTGTACAGCCCATACCTAGGGAATGGAGTTGGAGGATCTCTTACTGGTGCAAACCTCACCATCTGGACCCTGGAGGCAGATGATTGGATCAGGTGTACGCAGGGGAAGACTGACCATTTGGAAACTCAGGCACTGCCCGAGGGCCCGGGGTCAGTAGAGGGCACCATGAGATGCCCCTGGTACCTTTTTCATAGGCTTTTTTGAGTTTGAGCAAGGACACAGGGGCCCCATGATCCCCTATTGCCCGGGGGCCCCATGAGTTGTCAGTCCGCCCCTGGGTGTGTGAGTACTCTCAGGAAAGATGGGGTTAACCACTTATGAGCCAGGAGGGTGGGATAACTTTTCCTTAGGTCATAATCCATGGGGATTATGTCTGGCTGTGCAGGAGGATGAACAGCGGCCATGCCTTACACTTTGAATTTACCAAATCTATGCAATATGAGGACCTATCTAATCTATCCAATCAATTTGTATCCATTCAGGCAGGCCTTTGCACTACATAGTAGTTGGTAGGTCTAGATACAATTGTTCTATTAGATTGCAACATGTGTAGTAAAGAATGTTGATGCAACAGCTACCTTGAACAAGATGAATCCTTCACTAATGCAAATAAGGGAAAGAAAGCAACAATGGGAATTTAATGACATATCATTGCTACTTTTCTGACAGTATGGCCCTTTAAAGGGTCTTGTGCCAGATTCAGAAAGTCCTGTCACTAATTTTGGTAGGTTTACCAAAATGTGTGGCAGATTCAGATAGTTCTGATTAGAACCACTTCTACAGAGTGGCACTATGGCTGCAGTAAATTAAAAAATTAATATCTGCAGTTCAAAGATTAAAAAAATGGAGTTAGTTAAGACCAACTGTAAGTTGATGTATAGAGACAGGCAGTGTGCCTGTCTCTTTATGCTGAGTAGCAGGGGGCATGTTTGCTACCAATAGCCCCTCCCCTACCCACATGTCACTGGTTGTTAAATCATAGCCAACTCCAAAGAAGTTATACTGTATATTGCAGCTTACCGATCATCAGATGTGATGGCTTCATTCATTTTTCTTTTTTAGGCTTTTTCCCCTCTGATTTCACCTGGTGATTGGTCAGTAAAACACACTTCCAGTTCTAGGATGGCTACATTCTCTCCACTGTACCTGTGAAGGCTCCATGTAGCCACCCTTGGACAGAAGTACTGTCATCCTGAGGAGAGGATAGTGATAGATGGACTAGTATATTTAGACGACCATTACATAAGTAACTAACTCCAGTGAAATGAGCCTCCAGCTAACACTTTTTAAAAGCTACAGGAATTTTTTGTTTTATACTTTAGGGATAAACGCTGTGCATACATGAATAAAATCGGATCATTGTAATCCCCCTGTCAGTGTTAAATGGTTTGTCTTAACCCTCTAACTGCCACTAAAGCTGGACAACTTGGTCTGTTAATGAAAGGTGACATATAAAAGACTTACTGGTTAGATCATCAGGTGAAAATAAATAAAAAAGAAGCCTAAAAGAACAGGATCTTGGCTGTTCATCGTTCTCTGAAGATAGTAGGAATCTATTAATATGATGATAGGCAAAGATTCTCTAAATGTAAAAATGAAAGAGAATGGATTTAAGATAAGAACTAGTTGGTATTGTAAACTGGCAGTGATACACAAATTTTTGTCCTGGAGTTATGGATAGATGTTGGCGATGCGATAATGATGTAGGCGCATTACTTCACATTTGCTGGCACTATCCTGCCCTGCAATCTTACTTATTTATTCATTGGTCTTAGGCTGCTCCCATGACTTCACACCTGCCCAATATTTGCTTATTTAAATGACAATATTTTAAATCTTTAGTGATCCATATGGTGAACGCAGAATGTACTTGTAACACCCCCCTTAGGAGTCGCTGCATAGTCCTGCACAGCCAGGCATCACACATCTTCAGTCCTTGAGCTTTACTTTTGTTGTTTTATTTAGGGGATTTGAACTGGGATATGGTTAGGGTTGTACAGGATACCCAAGGGTACTGATAAACTGAGGACAACTTCCTGGAACTAATTACAAGCCTTTTCTGTAGCGCAGTCTCTGCTGGAGAGCTATCCAGTGTCTCCTTAGTGTACCACCCCAGACCCTAGATGAACTTCTGCTCTTTACCCAGCAATCTGGAGGTATCCCTGAACAGGGGATCCAGTTCCTGTCACTTTAAGAGATGAACAGTCACTGGCAGGTGGCTAATCTGGTTTGCCATCAGAGTGCTCCTTCTTCTATCCCCCAAGGGGGTGCAGGTGTACTCATTCAGATCCTTGCCTGTACTGCTGGTGGGTTGGTGGCTGTTACCAGGCCTATCAGCTGGGCCACTCCTTCCCTGCCATACAGGTGGTCCTCTCTCATGGGACTGATAAGCTCTGAGATTTCCTCCTTTCTAGATCCAGGCCTGCAAGTAGGCGTCATCCCACTGGGCCTCCTCGTAGTCTCCTTCAGCCTCACGTCTTCCTCTCTATCTTCCATCCAAACTGTCTTGCAACTGAGCAGGCTACAACACTTTTAAGGGTATCTCAGCCCTTTTCCAAGTCTTCTGTTGGGGATTGGTCAGAGCAGGGGCGGACTGACCATTTGGAAACTCGGGCACTGCCCGAGAGCCAGGGGTCAGTAGGGGGCCCCATGAGATGCCCCTGGTACCTTTTTCATAGGCTTTTTTGAGTTTGGGTAAGGACAAAGGGGCCCCATGATCCCCTATTGCCTGGGAGCCCCATGAGTTGTCAGTCCGCCCCTGGGTCAGAGTCCCTTAAAAGTGCAGCCAGCCACTCCTCATATCCACCCACTGCCTCTAGGGCCTTCCTCCTAATCCCTAGAGCAGGGGAAAATTCCAGAGGGGCTGGCCTGCAGAGCAGCTCAGCTCCTGACCATGATTTGACCTTCTAGCTATTACACCCTGGCTGCTACACAGCCTTCCTCACTACCAGTTAAACACTAGCTTCCCCTAGCGAAACTAGGAGGGTGTTACATACTTATCTGTTCACTGGAGAAAAACACAAACGACTACAGTAGTGGAGTGATTTGCCCACATTGATAAAAATTGCAGAAATAGAACTAGTATACATTAGCCAAGATAGATTAACACAATACATTAAGACTTGAGTCTGTTGGATACATTACAGATCTTCATCCAAATACCATTTCATGAAAGATCTAGGTAATCACTACAGGGAACGAATTTGGGAACAAGAAATGGGCAAAAGGATGCCAAGCTTAATAGTTTCTCTTCTTGGGGTAAGCCTTTTCTTTTCCCAAGTCCCTTGTCTCCCAACTTTTTTTTTCTTTTCTCTCCCTTTTTCATCTTTACTGTTTTTTCTTCAATTCCTATTCTTAGCTTTTGTCTATCTCATTCTGTTGCAGCTCATTATATAAATAATGTATAATTGGTGATAAGTCTCCCTAGACTTTTAGCCCCTTGAGGTAACTACTCGTTGATTTGGCTACTTGGTCTGAGTCTGCACTTACAATATTTTCTTGGAGAATGTTGATGGCACCTGTCCATTATTAAGATCAGGTGGTTTTGATGTACCCATGTACTGTTGTCATCAGGGGCGGACTGACAACTCATGGGGCCCCCGGGCAATAGGAGATCATGGGGCCCCTGTATCCTTGCCCACACCCAAAGCACACCCAAAAAAAGCCTATAAAAGGTACCAGGGGCATTTCATGGGGCCCCCTACTGACCACGGGCCCTCGGGCAGTGCCCGAGTGCTCGAATGGTCAGTCCGCCCCTGGTTGTCATGTAAAGTCGTACCTTTGATATGTCCACTGTACCTTGCTATTTTTCATGGTTTCCACATGACATGTATGTTTGCTTTCCTTAGTAAAATCTTTTTCGGAAAAAAAAGCCTAAAAAAGGAAACTCATGCAGTCACCGCATCTAGGAATAGGTAAGCTGCAATTTATTACATTTTGTTTTTGGATTTAGATACACTTTAAGGATGCTGTTGATTTCACAGCCTCCTAGCAACCATTGAAGATGACAGTGGGTAAAGTCTGCTGGTGATTCACAGACACTTCTTCCCTATCAGGACCACTCTCTCCTTCTAATTGACATCAGGTAGTGGGAAGGTTATATAGCAAATAGCAGGATGTCTTTTAGCAATGTACTATCCCACTGCTTTCTGTCAACCACAAGGGGAGTGGACCTGATGGGGAACTAGTGTCTGTGAACCCCCATCAGGTTCTGCCCACCTTGCTACAAAACTCCTTGGAGCTGCTTCAGGTGGGGAGGAAGCTCAGCTGCACTGATTGTACAGTTTCTTTTATGTCTACCATCACTGTGTATTGCAAGATCATGTCAGATTGGATACAAATTAATGGGATAGTTTAGATAGGTCCTCATATTCCTTTTTTTTGCAAAGATTATGCCCCTAATATGTTAATATTCTTTTTCAAAAGTAATGTCTTTTTTCTACAGCATTTTGTCCTGTGTTTCTCTTGAACTTTGGTTGCTTTTTTCAAAAATGTTGAGTGCCAAAAATATGTAGGGAGACATCTAAAAGCTGTCTTAAAGTGGATAAAACCTAATTCACATTGAAAACAAAAACTTTTATAAACACATAGCACAGCAGTGTACAAATACAAGACATCCACTAGATGGCAGCAATTACCATCTAATTGTTCATACATACACTTCAAAGGCACGTTTCCAACATTCTTGACTGTATAAAAAGTAGACTCATGAAAAAAAAAAAACTAACCTAAGTATATCTATACAAAAGAGCATATCAATAACAAATGAATTGCTGCAGTTCCTGTGAAATATAGATTTATGCCCCCCCCCCCTTTTTATAAATGCATGCAATTTGAGGGTTAGCGACTGATGTCAATTTACTATATATATATATATATATATATATATATATATATATATATATATATATATATATATATATATATTTAAAGCGCTGTGTAAATTGTCGGTGCTATATAAGTACCTGTAATAAATAAATAAATAATTGATGTAGTCCATTCACAATAGGCACTTGCATACATTTCTGTCCTAAGAAATACTGCCTACTCTAATATTATTATTATTATACAGTATTTATATAGCGCCAACAGTTTGCTCAGTGCTGTACATTATAATGGGAGACAGTACACAAGACAGCACAGTAACAATACAATAATACATGAGGGGTTTGAGGACCCTGCTCCTTAGAGCTTACAATCTATATATGTTTCCAAGGACATCCATATCATTGCTAGACCATTTGAAAATAGTAGAAAATTACACCATTAAAAAAAAAAGAAAATCCTACTGGCAAGGATTTGAGGTTGGCAGGGCCTAGGGATCATAACCTATGCAAATGGCACAGTCCAAATCAGTGGATACTTTAAAGTGAAACTCATTCCAAACATTTTTTTTAATATATTGTGGAGGGCATAGGTTTTCATTGCTGAAATCTCTCTGTACATTTAATTACAATGACTACCAGGACACTGATATCCTAAAAACATCCTTATATATTACATTTGAAAATTAGATATTAACTTGGGGTATCATAATGATGTGCCCATAGGTAAGTTCCCCAAAATAAGGCACATCCAAATTAATATTATGCAATAAAATATAAATATAAACGTACAACAGGCTCTGGTGCCCAAAGCCTTGCTTTAATTCAAAATGCTAAGTTTTTCTCATAGTGCAAGGTGCCGCTTGGGTCTTTATTGTCTCGTTATCATCACAAACATAACAATAAAAAATGGTCAAATCTTTTGTGAGTTAGCATAATTTCATTGTTTCAGCATCTCTGTTCTTTATTCTTCAAACTTGCACATTTTGCAGTAAAATCGCTTCTTCTAAATCCAGCCATAGATGATTTGATTTTCTTGCAGGAAAGAAAATTCTTTCTCTGCAGGGAGAAATGCAATTCAATGACTATAACCACTTGCATGAAATATCCCTTGGGCTGGTTGTACCCAAGTCGCTCAGCAACTGAATTGGGTACAATCAGCCTGCCCATAGATGTTTCTAATCAGGGGCGGACTGACCATTTGGAAACTTGGGCACTGCCCAGGGCCCAGGGTCAGTAGGGGGCCCCATGAGATGCCCCTGGTACCTTTTTCATAGGCTTTTTTGAGTTTGGGCAAGGACACAGGGGACCCATGATCCCCTATTGCCTGGGGGCCCCATGAGTTGTCAGTCTGCCCCTGTTTCTAATATTTGCTGGTCCCTGCTGAACCTGCTGAGTTTCAAAACATCTATGGCAGGCTTAACAAGCTGCTATATTGTGTACTCCTGAAACCAGCAACATGGACCTCTCTGATTGTGGTTCAAAAGTAATCGATCTTGGTGAGTGTCCAACCTCATGTGGACCCTGTGGCCTAGTGGATGACCTAATCCAACTTGTGGTGATGTTTTGACACACCAAGATAGCTGACATTTGGACACACACCCAAAGGTGGCCATGCCGCTGGTTGCCGGGGAAGGCGATAAAGCAGTTTGTTGCATGTTATTGAAAAAATATACTGTTGGCTTTTTTTTGGAAGATATTGACTCTACCGTATGTTCTCTGAAGAAGTTGTTTTACCCAACGTGCTGAAAGTGAAAAATTAAATACAGACGTGCTGAGCTAATGAAGTAATGCTGATTCACATGAGATTGTCCACTGTTTATGGTTATGTTTGTGATGATACAAAGGCAACAAAGAGGCAAGAGGCACCATGTACATAAATGGTACATAGAGGCAAGAGGCACCATGTACATAAATGGTACTGCGCAATGGTGGGGACTGCTGCCAACACCTATCACTCTCCTACTGGAATGGGTAATGGAATGGAATATAAGGGTATAGCGATGTTCCCAAAATAGTTAAGTAATGCTGACACCTCGCTGAAGTATGTGTAAACCTACAGTGCACTATAGAATGGATTCTGATCCCTAGATCATAAAAATCATATCATACTACAGGACACCTTCCCCCTTTCTAAAAGTAATCAGATTGAGATATGAATGGGATGAAGGGGAGGTAATCCTAGGAAGTCCTGCAGGGCACTCTAACGTGATGTGAGTGGACCAGGTGTGTAGGCGGAACCAACAAAAATCAAATCAAAAAAATTCCCCAGCCAAGTGAAAGAGCAATTAGTCCTCCAAAGGATGGCACACCTGGATACAAAATTAGGTACACCCTCCCCAAGGGGGATACTATATATAAATAAAATGCACACTGTGAAATAAATGGCAAAAAAAAATACAAAAACAAATTGTGTGTGGTGCTATAATACACCTCTTTCCTAAAAGAGAGATTCTGTGCAACAATATAATATACAATAAACTGTGCATCAAATACCTAAAAATTTGAAAATGAGATTACTATTCAAACCCAATAGTGTATGGTGCTATAATGCACCTCCCCCAATGAAAAAAAATGCTGCTTATGAATAAAAATGATCAAATTGCAATATGCATTAATTATATAGTCTGTGCTTTAAATATAGACCATATTTTTGTTCCTTAAGCTTCAGCGCACTGTGAAAAAACAAAGGATAAGTGCTTCCACATGTGCTCCCCTTTTTCATCGCACTCACCGCAAAAGTAGACCTCTGTTTCCAGTGGGTCCAACATGTTTTGGTTAGTTTTCCACTCTTCAACATCTAGGCTGAGAAGTTCCTCCGTGTATCGGCTTACCGGTCTTCCACATGCCAGACCATGAAGATAGTACCAGAGCTTTGTACTTGTACCGGACCACAAGCAAAACATGCCAAAGAGAAAGGGAATCTTCTATAGTGTAAAACCCTTTTTATTTAAAAGAAAAATAGCCAAAAACACACAGTGTAAAAGACTTAAAAGCGCCTGTAGCCTCTCTAGCGTTATGATTATATCAGTATTTCTGCGCTCAAAGAGGTACATTTTTTTGCATGTTGTTTTTTTATTGTAGGCCTGTAATTCTTAGGAATAACTCACTGAAATCTGTCCGAACAAGAGTCTAGTAAACATCCCGGGTATGTTAAAATTTGAAACACAAAATCTTAAATTATAATTTAATAAATAATCATAAAAAATTATAATATAATAATAAATTTAATTCAATAATATAATCAAACCAAAAACAAAAATTTGAAATATAGCGCCAAGTTCGCACATCACTGATCTTAGTCGCAAAATCGTTTTCAGTGTTTGATCACAAATTTGCCCCACGAATCATTATCACTCAATTCTGCAAGTGGTTCTGATTTACTATCGCTGTTCTCTAGCTGTTCTAAAACTGCTGTTGACCTAAAGGGACACTTTTTGGACGCCATGAACATTTCTCAGTTTCAAGGCAGAAAGAACGGTAAAAATTCAGGCAGGGCACAGAACAAAGCAGTAGGGACAAAATGTATGTGAAATGGTTTGATACAGTAATGTTTTACTATGTGATTTTATTGTATTTAGTGAATGTCACTTTTTAAAATTTTTAAATTTCCCGCCGTTCTGTCCCCTGTACGTCCCGTATGTCCCGACATCGCAGGGAAGGGAACCTGGAAGACGCATGGAAATGGCCGGGGATGCTGCATGGGAAACATCACAGGAGCGCAGGACAAGGTAAGTGCAGAAGGGATCCTGGAGCAACGCTGCAGGTATTCCCGAGTGTAGCTTGGGGTTACCGCTTGTGGTGCTGAAACTTTACCCCGTGCTACACTCGGGAATACCTCCAGGGAGGTT